TGATCTCGGCTCACTGCAACCTCCACCTCCCAGGTTCAAGTGATTCTCCTGCCTCAGCCTCCCAAGTAGCTGGGATTACAGGTGCCCACCACCACGCCCAGCTAATTTTTTTTTTTTTAATAGAAACGGGGTTTCACCATGTTAGCCAGGCTGGTCTCGAACCCCTGACCTCAGATGATCTGCCCGCCTCGGCCTCCCAAAGTGCTGGGATTATAAGCATGAGCCACTGCACCCGGCCATGAAAATAAACGTCTTAAGAGAACCTGAGTAATGTGAATAATCAGCTGAAATGTATTCTTTTTATATATCTCATTAAATGTGCAGCATTACCCAGCAGCCTCAACTATACCAAGAAAACCGGGTTTTGGGGAATGCCGTGGACCACTCTCTCCTTTCTCAGTTCTGGTGGTTCTAGGGAGAACAAGCAATGGAAGAAAAAAGGCAAGTGGGGTGGGAGAGGAAGGTGACGGTGGGCGAAAGAGCAAATCCAAGACATTTTCTTCTTGGGCTAGGACTCTGTGTCTATTGCCAGCTTTGCCTATATAGCAAGGGTTCAGTAAAAGTTTTTGAATATCTTCATTTTGGTTTTTGTTCATCCATTACACAATCCTAAATAATTCCTGTTCACATTTTGGTAAGTAAAATTTTAATATCTTTTTTCCTTTAAGTCATGGATTCAATTGATAAAATAGTTCTGGTCACTTACCCGGTCATTCAATAGCTGATGGTTTAAGGGTGTCCAGGTGCTCATCTTTGTCTGCATTTTGGGACCATCTAGGTTTTTTGGAGGTGCAAATGCCATCATGAAACAACTAGATATCCTTCCATAAGAAAAACAGCACCTATCAGAAGAAGTGAATCATATAACCCTCAGAAAACAAAAATTACTAATACCGGCCGGGCACGATGGCTCACGCCTGTAATCCTAGCACTTTGGAAGGCCGAGGTGGGCAGATCACTTGGGGTCAGGGATTGGAGACCAGCCTGGCCAACATGGTGAAACCCTGTCTCTACTAAAAATAAATGTAAAAAAAAAAAAAAAAAAAAAAGCTGGGCGTGGTGGTACATGCCTGTAATCACACCTACTAGAGAGGCTGAGGCAGGAAAGTCACTTGAACTTGGGAGTTGGAGGTTGCAGTGAGCCAAGATGGCACCACCGTACTCCAGCCTGGGCAGCAGAGCGAGACTCCACCTCAAAACAAATAAATAAATAAACCAATACTAATACCATATAATTTTGTAGTATGTTGGCAGAGGGAATGGGGTAGGAAGAGCATTTATTGGGGGCATCTTATATGTCAAGCACTTCATATGTCTCCTCAATGGAAGCGCACAATTATCTGGTAAGGCGGTGGGTTTTAACTCACTTTACACATGAGGAAAATTTGGCTTATTGATGTCACCCTGTCCAAGGTCATACAGATAGCAAGTGGTGGAACTGGTAGTCGGACCCAGGTCAGTTTAATGCCACTTTATTTTCAATGGACTCTGGGGGGAAATCCAGAATCACCGCTAGCTGAGGACATACTATATGGGCCAGGAAGAGAAGTATTTTAAATTTGAAATCATCATGCAATATGAAACACTTCATTCTTGTCCCTTGTGTGATATTAACTCTCCTCCTCCCCTCTTAACTTCCAGATATCCAAGTAACTAGAACTCCTGCCTGAGAGTGTATTAAAGAGGTAGCATGGCGGGAGAGACAAAGCCAAGGCTTTGGAAATGAATAGATTTGAGTTTATTGGGGGAAATTTGCTATTTTTAGTCATCCAGTATATGTCTGCCTCCTTTTGATTAAAGCACTTTAATTTTCAGGAGGAATTACTTTTCCCTCATTGTTTATAGCCTGATGGTTTAATTAATTAAGGTAGCCTGTCCTTCCCTAGCCAAGAGATGGTCATGAGACCAAACTAGGCCAACTGGGCTGACAATGGCTTATTCTTATTCTTATTTTATTAACTGATTTATTTATTTTGAGATGGAGTCTTGCTCTGTCACCCAGGCTCAAGTGCAGTGACACGATCTCGGCTCACCACAACCTCTGCTTCCCAGGTTCAAGTGATTCTCCTGCCTCAGCTCCCTTAGTAGCTGATTGAGAGTAGTTCTGATATATACACTCAGGGTTGCAGGTTTCTGCATTTTCCACGCTCTGATGGTGGGTTTCACAAGGACAGGTAGCAGAGATGGCTAATGGGACCAGGGCCTGCTTGCCTGATCAATGGGCTCCACAAATGACCTCACAGCAACAGATACTGGATATTTTTTATTTTTTGAGAAAGAGTCTTGCCCTATTTCCCAGGCTGCAGTAGAGTGGTGCAGACACGGCTCACTGCAACCTCCACCTCCCAGGTTCAACCTCCACCTCCCACGCTTCTCCTGCCTCAGCCTCCCGAGTAGCTAGGACTACAGGCGCCTGCCACCATGCCTGGCTAATTTTTGTATTTTTAGTACAGAACGGGGTTTCACCACGTTGGCCAGGCTGGTCTCGAATTGCTGACCTCAGGTGATCTGCCCACCTCAGCCTCCCAAAGTGCTGGGATTACAGGCACAAGCCACTGTGCCCGGCCTTGGATAATTTTTTTAAATCATTATTTTTTGGCTGGTATGGGATTTTCCCAAACACTATCGGAGATCTTTGAGGTTCTCATTTGACATGTAATACTCTCTCTCAGGAAGATAAAGCCCACGTTTTAAACCCCCTTGGGTGCCAAGACAATGCCTTCCTGCAGTTGTCTGCTGCCAATATGCCACTGGAATGAGGGGCGCTCAGATCAGCACTCAGGTTCTTCTCAGCCTCAACAGCTACTATCTGAGACACATTTAGGTGAGTTACTAAGCCAAAAGAAATGATTTCATTACAGTAATATTAACTGGCAGCTAATGATAAAAGTACATGTGAGCAAGCCGGCATGGTGGCTCACACCTGTAATCGCAGCACTTTGGGAGGCCGAGGCAGGTGGATCACCTGAAGTCAGGAGTTCAAGGCCAGCCTGACCAACATGGTAAAACTTCATCTCTACTAAAAATACAAAAATTATCTGGGCATGGTGGCGCACCTGTAATACCAGCTACTCAGGAGGCTGAGGCAGGAGAATCGCTTAAACCCAGGAGGTAGAGGTTGCAGTGAGCGGAGGTCGCACCACTGCACTCTAGCCTGGGTGACAGAACAAGACTCTGTCTCAAAAAAAAAAAAAAAGTTATAGATACAAAGTGTAGCCTCTGAGTCTGGCTCTCCCCAGCTAAAAAGTGATATATTTGTTTTTGTTGTTGTTATTTATTTTCTACATTTCTTCTTCTTATTCTTCTTTTTTTTTTTCGGAAGAGTTTTGTTGTTGCTGCCCAGGCTGGAGTACAACGGTGCTATCTTGCCTCACTGCAACCTCCGCCTCCTGGGTTCAAGTGATTCTCCTGCTTTAGCCTCCCTAGTAGCTGAGATTACAGGCATGAGCCACCAGGCCCAGGTAATTTTATTGTTTTAGTAGAGACAGGGTTTCACCATGTTGGTCAGGCTGGTCTCAAACTCCTGACCTCAGGTGATCCACCCGCCTCGGCCTCCCAAAGTGCTGGGATTACAGGCGTGAGCCACTGCCGTATCTGGGCTACATTTCTTTTTTTTAAACTAGTTTTTTTGTTGCCTGTAATCCCAGCACTTGGGAGGCTGAGGCAGAAAGACTGCTTGAGCCCAGGAATTTGAGACCAGACTGGGCAACATCGTGAGATCTTGTCTCTACACAAAGTAAAAAAAACCCAGAAAATTAGCTGGGCATAGTGGTGCACGCCTGTGGTCCCAGCTACTTGGGGCAGGGGCAGAGGGCTGAGGTGGGAGAATCGCTTGGGCCCAGGAGGTTCAGGCTGCTGTAAGCTGTGATTGCGCCACTGTACTCCAGCCTGGGCAACAGAGCCAGACCAATTTTTATTATTTTAAAAAGAGCAATTTTATTATTTTAAAAAGAGCAATTTTTAAATTATTTTTAAAAATAATAAAAACATAAAAATTAAATGAGTTGTTTTGAATCCTTTCTTAAGAGCTACATGGCTCTTGGAGAATATGATGAAAGCTATGAATTCTTCCCCTAGAAAAATGCACATACGCACAAAATTTTGCTTACCCCTGCTCTATGCTGAACAACTCTCTCCTTTCCAGTTTGTGTAGGAAATCATGTGACTGATCCTAGGCACGTTCTTCTGAATGAGGACAAGTAGCTCTCCTTGGTAACTCCCCCAAGGGTCTGCACTGGTTGTTTTCTTTTTCCTGGTTCCTCAGAGCTACATGTCACTTAGATTAGACTTTCTTTCAACCTGCTTAAAGATAGATGGGTTTTCAGCAGATGGGCCTGGCCCCGGGAAGCAGCCCTCTTGGCCATATAGGCCAATGTGGATGTCCTGCCTCGTCTCTTGCTATTATCCTTTTACAGTATTTTCCTCCTTCCATTCCACAAGACAGGCAGTATGTGTATTTGCATGCACATACATGCTCACAGAACAGACCACTTGCTATTATTAAGACAGATTTTTTTTTCTCTTTTGAGATGAAGTCTCACTCTGTTGCCCAGGCTGGAGTGCAGTGGCGCGATCTCGGCTCACTGCAATCTCCTCCTCCAAGGTTCAAGTGATTCTCCTGCCTCAGGCTCCCGAGTAGCTGGGATTACAGGCATGCACCACCACCCCTGGGTAATTTTTGTATTTTTAGTAGAGATGGGGTTTTCCCCATGTTAGTCAGGCTTGTCTTGAACTCCTGACCTTAAGTGATCCGCCCACCTTGGCTTCCCAAAGTGCTAAGATCACAGGCATGAGCCGCTGTGCCCAGCTACAGAGATTTTTATATAACACATACAAAACATAATTGTCCCCACTTAACAAAACAAAGCTAGTTGTCATCCTCTCTTTCCACAGATGTTTTGCTGTTGCTTTTTGTAATCTCCTTCCTTGTAAGGACTACTTTTGAATATTCATCTTTTTCTTTCTTTTTTTTTTTTGGTGGGTGTGGGGGGGTGGGCAAAGTCTCACTCTGTTGCCCAGGCCGGAGTGCAGTGGCACAATCTCGGCTCACCATGACCTCTGCCTCCCAGGTTCAAGCAATCCTTCTGCCTCAGCCTCCCGAGTAGCTGGGATTATAGGTGCCTGCCACCATGATCAGCTAATTTTTGTATTTTTAGTAGAGACGGGGTTTCAATATGTTGGCCTGGCTGGTCTCAAACTCCCGAACTCATGATCTGCCCACCTTGGCCTCCCAAAGTGCTGGGATTGCAGGCATGAGCCACCGCGTCCAGCCAAATATTCATCTTTTTCTTAGAATTAAAATACAGAAAGAGGGCCTAGGACCCTAGTTCTTGACATATGGTTCTAGTCTCATTTTCAATAGCAAGGATGGGTCCTCTGGCCACATACTTCCAATTTGATCTTCTAAGCCTTTTTTTTTTTTTTGACAGGGTCTTGCCCTGTCACTCAGGCTAGAGGGCAGTGGTGTGATCACAGCTCACCATAGCCTCAACCTCCTGGGCTCAAGCAATCCTCCATGTCAGCCTCCCAAGTAGCAGAGAATACAGGTGTGCACCACCACTCCTGGCTAATGTTTTTGTATTTTTTGGAGAGGCAAGGTCTTGCTCTGTTGCCCAAGCTGGTCTCAAACTTCTGGGCTCAAGCAATCCACCACCTCAGCCTCCCAAAGTGCTGAGATTACAGACATGAGCCACCACCTCCTGCCTTAAGCCATTCTTCACACTGTCATCATTATTTAACCACCTTACTAAGTACCTACAAGGCAGATGTTAGGGGTACAAAGATAAGAGTCTGCTTTAATAGAGCTCACAGTCTCCTGTTAGGTATTTTTTAAAAGACCAGTTGATCATGTCACTTTTCAGCTCTAAACCTTCAGAGGTTCACTGATGGCTACAGGATCCAGACTTCCTTGCACGGAAGTCTAGGTCTGCCATGATTTTACCTCCATCTACTCTTTCAGCCTCACCCGGCCCCACCTTTATGCACTCTCTGCCCAGACACACTGAACTCATGGCCACTCTGAGAACGTGCCACACAACTCTGATGATTCTTGGCTTATGTGGTTTTTCGGTGCTCACTGCTCACCTGAATCATCACAGTAGTATATCATAGGTACTCAATATTTGTTAAATCAATAGAAAAAATGACTACAGCAGTGGAAGTGGGGAGCAGTTTAAGGATTAAAACTTGTAGAAATGTTTGGGAGGCTGAGGTGGGTGAATCACTTGAGCTCAGGAGTTCGAGATCAGGCTGGGCAACACAGTGAAATCCCGTCTCCACCAAAAACAAAACAAAAACAAAAAATTAGCACAGTGTGGTGGTGTGTGCCTACAGTACCAGCTACTCGGGAGGCTGAGGTGGGAGGATTGCCCTGGGAAGCAGAGGTTGCAGTGAGCCAAGATTATGCCACTGCACTCCAGCCTGGGGGACAGAGCGCGACCCCATTTTGAAAAACAAAAAAACCACCACCACCACCACCACAACTTGTAGAAATGTAGGCCAGGTGTGGTGGCTCATGCCTATAATCCACGCATTTTGGGAGGCTGAAGCAGGAGGATCTCTTGAGCCCAGGAATTCCAGACCAGCCTGGGCAGTACAGCAAAATCCTATCTCTACAAAAAAAAATAAAAAATAAAAAATTGCCAGGTGTGGGTGTGGCGGTGGGTGCCTGTGGTCCCAGCTACTCAAGAGGCTGAGGTGGAAGGATCGCTTGAGCCCAGGAGTTCAAGGCTGCAGTGAGCTATGATTGCACCACTGCAGTTCAGCCTGGGCAACACAGCAAGACCCCATCTCAAAAAACAAAAAAAACAAAACCAACCAACCAAAAAAACCAAAAAACAAAACAAAACCCTTGTAGAATTGTAGAAATGTAGAGTGAAACTCAGAACATGATACTGGGCTCTGGGGTTATATGCAGAGTTCGCTGAGCAGAATAGGATTGGGTCTGTCTGCTAACAGAATTTACCCATATACTGTAATATCATCAAATAAGGGAATCTCAAATTATTATCAGGAAATTATCAAGAAATAGGGTATGGGTAGATTTAAATACGAATTCATCGTCCGCTTAACTAGTTTTTAAAAAGCAAGAACTATAATACAACGCAAAGAGCTAGTGTTTGGTACGCATATAATTATCTGTGGGTTGTTAATTTCACAAGTATGAATATCTGGCAGTTGCACTGTAGCCCAAATGAGAGGGTACAATGAAATCCCCAGGAGCACTGACAAGGCTCATGAGAGACCCAGGAGCTTTCCAAAGAGAGTCTCCATCTTTTTCATGCACTGCCCACAGCTCTCACCTCTTTTAGCTTGTCTCCCTCTTCAAGCCTCGAGCGCTGACGTTACCACAGTTGCATTAGGTCAGCTTTTCTCTGACTACCTCCAGCCCCTCACCCCTCCCAGCTTCCAGCAAGCCCAATCACCGCCTATAAATCCCGTCGCTGGCATCCGGGGTCTCTTAGGCAACAATGTGTGGGCTCTTGATTGGCCGCGAGATCCAGGAGGGCTGGCTACAAAATTGGGCACGGGGATAAAATTAACAAGTGTGGCGGCCGAGAGCGTGGGAGGGACTGCAATGTCTCAATATAACCCGACAATGAAGATGCGTCGAATCCTGAAACAAGCAGCGTTGAAAACCTTCATTCAAGACGTAGTGTGTCCCAAATCAGCCCTACCTACCTACGGAGCATGCCCAGTCACATTGTCCTGGGCACTCCGGAGCTGCGAAATGCAGGCTCCACTGTGCCAGGTTTTAAGAGTGGCCAACAGGTAAACAGAGGGTTGGAGGAAGAAGAATTCGAGACTGGTTCAATGAAATAATAGCACCTGCAACAGGAAGTGGAAGGATGGGGCCAGGAGGAATTGCCCAACACACAGACACACAAATGCTTAAATGCAAATTTCAATTTATTGGATTATAGAATTCAGGCTGACTGACAGATACACCAGGGAACCAGCAGATGGCATGCCCTAATAAGAATAACTAAATTTGGGAACTCTTAGAATCCCGTCCAATTCATTAAATTTATTGAGCGCCTGTCTTGTAATAAGAAGCGAAATGAGAATACAAGGATAAAAAAGAAATCTAAAAAGGAAGACTGGAAAGTGCAATATACAAATACCTAATGGAAGGCTCCCACGGTTAACAGCTGTTATAGAGTTATGAACAAGTGCTGGAGGATACCAAAAAGTTCAAAATTCCGGAACAGAGGTCCTTTGGTCAATGTAAATCAGGTCTTATAAGCAGCAGTGAACAACAACAAAAAGCAAAACAAAACAACAGCAAAAAAGACTTTCCTCACTATCTTTGTTTCCCAAAACCAATAAGAAGGCATTCTCCGACTTAAATGTACAAACCCTGTGTTTCTGTTGTGTTTTATAGTTTTTATTTTTATTTTTTAGGGGACGGAGTTTTGCTCTTATTGCCCAGGCTGGAGTGCACTGGTGCGATCTCAGGTCACTGCAACCTCTGCCTCTCAGGTTCAAGCGATTCTCCTGCCTCAGCCTCCTGAGTAGCTGGGATTACAACCATTTGCCACCATGCCCGGCTAATTTTTTTTGTATTTTTAGGGGAGACAGGGTTTCACCATGTTGGCCAGGCTGGTTTCAAACTCCTGACCTCAGGTGATCTGCCCGTCTCGGCCTCCCAAAGTGCTGGGATTACAGGAGTGAGCCACTGTGCCTGACCTGTTTTATAGTTTTTAAATAGGCAGCATTTGTATATCTCCAGTTTGAAAAGAAAAAGTGAAGCTCATAGAAGTTGTTGCTTTCCTTAGATTAAAATGGATCAGTAAGTGGCCAAACTGAAATTAGAACCTACGTTGTTTGAATTCCAGCCTAGGGATTTTTTCCACATGACCAGGTTGTACCTAAATGAATAAACAAAGCCTTGGGGAAAGGGGCGGTGAGGGGGTGGCCTGGGGGAGGTACTTAGATGCAATACTAAATTACCATGTATTACCAGTTAGCTTTTATGGTTTCAAAACGGGTTCATCCAGAAAGAGACCAGTTTTAACAATGTCGGGAGTGCTGTGTCTCTCTATGAAGTTCCCGCTCATTAAAGACTTCGTATTTGTGGTTACAACACGGAATGAAAGAGAGATGGGATCATAGAGAGCATCTCCTTTAGCCCTGTTGGATTTGAATATTTTCATTCCTGAAAAGAAGATCTCTTTCTTCTTGCCTCTCAACCAACACCTTCTGGGCCTCTTGTTGTCCTGCACCTCATCATCAGACTACTGTCCTCCCAAAAGAACCTAAGCCACACCGTCCACACTGTCTGTGTTCACAGTGAGTTCTCAATGTCTGACACTGCAACATTACTTTTTATTTATTTATTTATTTTTAAGAGACAGGGGTGGCTTTGTTGCCCAGGCCGCAGTGTAGTGGCACAACCATAGCTCACTACAGCTTTGAACTACTGGGCTCAAGCAATCCTCCCAGGCTAATTTTTTAATTTTTATTTTTGTAAAGACAGGATCTTGCTATGTTCCCCAGGCTGGTCTCCAACTCCGGGCTCAAGCGATCCTCTCTCCTCGGCTTCCCAAAATGCTGGGATTATAGGCCTGAACCACCTCACTCAGCCCCAAATATTAATTACTTTTAAGGGGGACATTTCGAACATAAAGAAAAGTTTGGACACTTTCATAAGAAACACCCTTGATTCTCCACGGAGATTTTAAAAAAATGTTACATTTGTGTGTATTTCACAGATACAGGAGAAGCTTCTTTTGTCTCATTCCCAGGTCTCATTCCCTTCCCTGTCTGCCTAGAGGCAGTCATTGTCACGAAATTGGTGTGCAGCCTTTCTGTCCATTTTTATGCTTTTATTATATGTATGTTTGCCCTCATAGACATTGTATAGTATTGCTAGTTTTTTTTTTTTTCTAAAGAGGCATAATCACTTATATATCTTGTGTCCCCCCCACCCCACTCAATGTTCTTTTTCTGAGATTTAGTCATGCTGATACAGTGGTGATCATTTCTACGTCATTCCCACCTCCCGATGTTGAGCTATGATGTGTCCCATTCCTGACAGTCTTTACAGGATGGTGGCTAAATTGAATAAAAATGCACCTTGCACAGCATCTCCGGAGGTTCCCCAGCTACAAGGGATCTGATACACACAGATTTCCCCCACACTATCTGCCCCCTCACTCACTGTCCACAGAGGCACCACTGGCTCCAGAGGATACACTGCCCTGCCTAGAATCAACCTAAGAATCAATATTATTTTAAACATTGTTTACTGCATAAGTATTTACTTATTAGAGAAACTGAAACTGTCATTTCAGATCTCATTTATCATGCCTGTTCACACAGCTCACCTTCTGATGTGAAACACTAGGTCTAAGTTCAATACTCTTAAACATTTACTTAACACGTATCAAGCGCCTTTCTAAAAATAATTGTAAAACACACACAACGTAAATGCACCATTGTAACCATATTTAAGTGTACAATTCTAATAGTGCTAAGTCCATTCACATTGTTCAATTTCTTTAAGTTCTATGTGCTACCGAATGAACAAAATGATGCCCATGCAATCTAGGTTCACGAGGAACAAAAAAAGAAGAGAAAGAAACGGTTAAACGGTGCAGTGAAAAGAAAAACAGCCCTTTTCTTTTCATCCCAACAACAGGTTGGGATGAATCCAGGCCCTGTTGTTAAAACGCTGCATGGCTTTAGGTAAATCATCTAACCTTTTGGGGCGTTCTTTTCCTCGTCTGAAAAATGAGAGGTTCAGTTTAGACGATCTTTAAGAATTCTTTCAGCTTTAAAGCCGCTTATGTAGAAAAGGAGAGGAGAAACATTTCCTAAGGAGCAAAAATTGGGGCGCGCACCAGTAACGACCAGCTCCACCTGTTTCCAAAGGTCTTGGCCAAGAGGCTATGAACTATCCCGGGCGAGTAGCCTGTCTGCCACGCTGTTTCGCGTGGAGCTCTGTAGCAGGCCAGAGCTCCTGCACCCCATTCCACCCTCAGTATCCGGGCATCTGCCTCTTGAGCACCCCAAATCCCCAGGTCCGGAGGTCGGCACCTCTGGTTCTCAGACCAGGTGTAGGTGGTCCTGCAATCACACCTCCGCGCTCGCGTGTTATCAGGGGAGGGAGTGCATTGCCAGGAGGCCCCCGAGTGCGTCTCAGATTAGCGCCTCCGGGGCTGGGAACTAGCACGCCGGAGCAGGGCAGCTCCAGACGTCAATCAGGGCGAGAGGCAGAGAACAACGAGACACGCCGGGCCAGCCCGGTATGCCCAGGCTCCGGCAGGGAGCTTTCGGCCGAGCGTGCTCAGTGCGCCTGCCCCGTGCGTGCGCGCGCGCTCGTGCGCTCGCTCCCCGGGCCGCGCGCCCTGGCGCTCGCGAAAGCTCGCTGTCGCTGGGAGGCGCGCGCTGGCGGTCCTCCGCCGCTCCGGGTACCTGAGGGACGCGCGGCCGCCCTCGGCTGGCGGTGCAGCCCCCACCGCTTTGGAGCCAGACGCCGGGGTCTGAGGTGAGCCCCCCGAAGCGTGTGGGCCCCTGGGCTGGGGCAGCGGGAGAGGGAGCGGCGAGTGTGGAGCCCGCGGACGCGCCGCGCGGCTGCCTGCTGCTCCGCCTCAGCCCGCGTCGAGGAGCCAGCGGCAGCCCGGCGCCTCCTCCTTAGGGATCGTTCCTCTCGTCGCGGCCACAACAAAAGCCTTGGGCACCGGGCTGTGGCGGGCGGCGGAGCGGGGGCCTGGGCCCGCGGTGGCGGCAGGGGGCCTCGGGGACGCCTAGTTTGGGGCTGAGGGCTGACGGGGGAGCTGCCCCTGGAGACGGTTAACCCTGTCCGCCCTGAGCCCGCGCTCGGCAACCTGTGCGAGTGTGGACCGCGGTTCTCTCGCCTCCACCCCGGCCCAGACCCTGCGCGGCTGGGAGAGGAGCCTGGCCGGAGCCGGCGGCAGCGCGGGGCGCCGGGGGGCGGAGGACAATGCGCCGGTGGCTCCCTGCAGCCCGAAGCGCGCGCCGCCAGGCTCCCGGCCCCGGCTCGGGTCAGCTTCGGGCCCACCTTTGCCTGCTCACGCCTGAAAGTTTCCCCGCCGGTCCGTCAGTTTGCAAAATCCTTGCTCCCTTCCGCGAGCTTCCCCCGGCTGCCTCCTCCGCGGGCTGTGGGTTTGCCGTGGGGTGGCCACTGCTGGATGCCCGAGGGTCCGCATCTGAAATCAAGCTGTTGTGAAATAGCCTGCAAGGTTAAGGAGCCTTATGTCCTTTTAAGACATGTAAACATTTTCCTAGAGGTATTTTACATCCTAGGAGTCTTGAGTTCGATCCCTCTGTTGTAAGATAAGCCAAGGGGGCTTTTCTTGGCTTTGTTTTTAAGAACAAAAGCACGTGCCATGAATTGAGGCAGAGGAGTAGACTTCAGATTTAGAGAGATCGGCCCCATGAAGGAGGTTCGGCGGTTTGCCCAGTGTAGAATGACTCTTTGAATTTTGGTCCCCGTCTGGATTGAGGGAGATGCAGCGGCAGTACAGAAGAGCAGCCACATCAGTGACTGCTATGGGAAAGTGTTCAGACACAGCTTCATCTTACAGAAGTAATTCTGATAGGGAATGCTTATTAATGGGTATTGAGTTACTTTGTAAAGCCAGTATGATATGAACAAGGAAACAAAGACCTGACTACCCCTGGGGATGTTACCTCCTTCCCTCATCCTCCTTTAGTCCTTGGTGGTGTGCTGGTGCCGTTCCTGCATTTTAGTCTGGAAAAGGAATAGAAATCCTTAGTTCTATTATTAAGAAGTGGTTACTCCTGAAGATAATGCTTTCCGTCTTTACTATTAAACAAATCAATACTATCTTTTTCCTCCAGAAAAAAAGAAAACCCACAAAGATTAAAAAAAAAAATCAGAGTCGGAGAGCCTAGGAAAGAGGTGTAAGAGCTTGACTGGGCGGGGCTGGAAGGATAGAGCTGAAGATAAAGTATAACTAAGAGGCAGCCCTTCTACTATACCCCCGTCCCACCCCATTGTTTGAAACTGTTAGGAAAATAAGTAAATTACGGGTAAAGCCTATCATTCTGCCGTCTCTTTCCTCCTATCCTTTTTCCCTCATCCACTACTAAAATTCTGTATCTCCATGTCTCCTAAATCTGTAAAAGCGCCCCATTTATAAAAGGAGAAGAAGGACAATGAGCCGTTTCCTCATCCTAGCTACTCTATGCTTCTGAGCTTTATTTTGTGCTTTGAGCATTCAGGTGGATATTTCTTGGATGTTCCGTGATTGAGATATTTGAAGTAGAGAGGGCTAAGGGAATTTAATAGCAAAGTGCACATTCTTTCTTTGTATAGAACAAAGTGAAAGCTTTATCACTGGGGAAGGAGAGAGGAGTTTTTTACTCACAATAAGTTGTCTGTTTCCCAGGAAACAAACTTAAATTTCATATTAGTTTGATAGTGAAACTCTAAGATTTTATATTCAAAACTTTTTCTGAGTATGTGAGTTTGTTGATGTTAAGCTGCTGTTGACTTTCTTTTCCTTCAGAGACAGATAGTAGGAAACAATTCGTACCACTTCTTTGAGCGGTTTTGGCCTGAAGTTTTTTTTTTTTTTCCTATCCCCAGAATTCTAGAATTATGCATGATTAAAACTGCAGCTGTGCACAAAAATAAAAAGAATGATTTTGAAAATATGTACTGGATAAATTATTCAGCATAGATTGGAGGAAAATTTGTGGTAGTCTCGAGGAAAGAAATTAGATTTTCAGTAGTGATATTTCTATAATGCTAGGAACAAGTGAAGTGTAACAGCTTCTTACTGGCTAGGAAAGAGTTTTACCTACTATGTCAAAAAATCAATTTCCTCTTTTTGCTTTCCAGTTCATCACGTTGGGAACTATTGACAGTTCGGTATATTCATGGAGTGTATTGCACATTAAGTTTGAGATGAATATAACTAGGCTAGTGGACCTGAAAACCAAATCCTGGTCCCCAGATTTTATCTCATTAAAATAATTCCATAGTCAAAGCATGCAAACCATACAGCCTTGTTAAGGGGGATGGAAAGCAGGGACTTGGTATTAGAGAATTTTTTGATAGCAGATTTAAGAGAAGCTGGACTGAAATTTCAGCCCATTTTAAAGTCCAGAATCTATCTGTCTCTTAACTTTTCAGTTTTATTTTCAGGTCAGTTTTTAAAGATCTTCTGTCTTCTTGTCTTCTTTAGTCTTAGTAATTAATAATTTCTAAATTGGACTGAACTTTGATGCCTACCATTCATTTAAATTTTGAACCTAGATGGATTTACTTTTCCTCTGTGTGCGTGTGTGTGTGTGTGTGTGTGTTTTAAGCCTTAATCACTTAACACATTGGAAGATTAAGTTATTTGTTGTAATCAGTAGATGATGACAAATGGACTTTAAACATTAGATGAAGTAGGAAAGTTCAGAAAAGAGATTCTCTGAGATTAGTAGGAATCTAGGTCCTGTGAATTAAATATGAAGCTATATAAACTTTCTTGTAGCAACCAGTAGGCAAAGGGCCAAAGACTATATAGACTTTAAGAAAAGGAAAGTACCATTTGAGCAATGAGTGTTCGCTGAGTGTATATTTTGTCTAACAAGACAATAATTTTCTTAAGAGAAGGAACTGTTATTTAGAGATAGTTATTGCTCATCCTTGCAATGCGTTCTTGAAAACGTGTCTGAAAAAAGACAAAGAATATTCCTCGTGTTCCCTCTGTAGTCACTGTGTAACCAGCATTTACTTCTTGAGACAACCTTTAGATGATCTTTCTCAAGTTGAAATGCAAAATGTTACCTGCATTTATCAGGTGTCAAGAAAATGAATTCTCAACAGAACAATGAAATGGAGCCCTATCTGTAGAGAAAGTGTAAATTGGAATAGAGTTGCTGAACATAATCTTTTGTTGCAGAACCCCTTTGACAAACCCTTAGGGCCCACTTCTCTCATCATCCTTTCTTCTGGGATTCAGTCTGCTTTCCTCTTCCCAGTTGCCACCTCCTGCATTTCCCACCGAGTTCTTTGGGTCTGATTTTGCAGCCAGCCTGGGAAGATGGTCTTCCAAGATTGGAATCCCTTCCCTTTATTGCTGTCTTTCGGGAGAAATACTTAGTTTATTTTATTTTAAAGACTTTTTGTCATCAAAAGAAACCTGATAAATAATGGTTGGGAAATATAAATTCCTAATGTTGTACATTCATAAAAATAGAAATGTATAAACTTTAAAGTATCTAGTCCTTTTTGTTTTCTGATGGAATGTTAACCAAGTAACTTAGTCTGAAATCAGCTTTCCAGATATTCTGTATTGCTCTATGGAGAAGTGAATGTGTCTCTTTTCCCCTACAAAGGGCATGAGCAACTGTTGCATAGCATTCACTTTTTGCAGGGCCCTCACCCCTGAAGCTGCTCACTCCAATTATGTTAATCTAGTAGATCCCCCCTTTGTTTTTCCGGTTGATATACTGCAGTTTCTTATAATAAAAAAAGAAGATAATATCAGTAAGAACGCCCCAAACAACTAGTAACCTTTATTTAATGACTTGCTACGTTTGGATAGGATCTCTTTGGCCAGAATCTTTACTATGTCCTGCAAATCTGGAACTTCAACTTATAGCTTTTCCATGGATGACCCTACCTTAGGAAAAATGGCATGCTCACATGATTGTGATTAAAGCAGATAATTCATTATGTTATTGAAGACATATTATTTGGACTGTTTATCAAAAGTTTTAATTTTTTATTTTATTTAATTTTTTTGAGACAGGGTCTCACTTTGTCACCCAGGCTGGAGTGCAGTAGTACAGTCTCTGCTCACTGCAACCTCCGCCTCCCACATTGAAGCAATTCTCGAGCCCTTCCTGAGTAGCTAGGACTACAGGTGCAAGCCAGCTACTTTTTGTATTTTTAGTAGAGACAGGTTTTTGCCATGTTGGCCAGGCTGGTCTCAAACTCCTGGCCTCAAGTGATCGGCCCGCCTTCGTCTCCCAAAATGCTTGGATTACAGGCGTGAGCCGCTGTGCCCAGCCAGGAATGTTTATCAAAAGTTTTTAAGTTGTGCATACCATTTGATTCAGTTGATTGGTTATCTGATTTTTTTAGTATTGAAAATCAGATTTTGACTCTTACTATATTGATCATCACTGATTTGCTTTTCTTACTAGGTACGGTAGAGCAGTAACGTGTTCCTTGGCTTGTTGCTTAATTAGTAGTCAATAAACCAGTCATTTCACTAGTAGTTTTTCTTGTCAGCTAGTCAGCACACATTTATAGATTGAGCAGAGTTAATTACTTCATACACAAAATAATGCATGATAGGTTCTTTAACAAAATTCCATAAAGCATTTAATATTTTATTTTTAAACAATCGAAATAGTTTTACTATATTACGTGTACATATATTTTTTCTGACAAAATGAGCTATATACATATACTGTTTTGTAAACTGCTTTTAAATTTTATTTTTTATTTATTGTTACTATCTTACCATATCCACAAATACAGGTTTATGCTCATCATTTTTAGTAACTATAGTAACTTTAGTAACTATAATATTCCATCATGTGTTTATACCATAATTTATTTAACCAATTTCTTATTGGTAGACGTTCAGGTTGTTTCCAACTTTTAGGTTTTTTTTTTTTTTAATTGTTATAAACAGTGTTACACTAATATTTTGGTTGTGCATCATGTGTACTTATGTGTTTACTTAGAATAAATTATAAGATAGATTTGCTGGATGAAATTGTGTACATTTTAAGGGCTTTTGATATAAGTAGCCCCCCTTTTTTTTTTTAAAGTACCAACTAGTTTACTATTAGCATTTGAAAATGTTGAAATGTTGAAGGTGTTCTTTACCCTGTACTCCCACCCTTTACTATGTTCTATCATTATTGTTTTTTCCCATCTGATTGGCAAAAATCTTATCTCACATTTGCATTTTTTATTAGTGAAGTTGAATATCTTTTCATATGTTTCTTGGCTACTTGTCTTTCTTTTGTAAATTTATGTCTTTTACTTATGTTTCTATTAAAATGTTATCCCCTATCTGCTTTTATTTTTAAAATTCATTTTATGTATATAATTATATAAATGATACCTTTATTCTTTTTAATTATTCTGTTCTAGGATAGCATTTCTCAAGACCTGACATGGAGCACTTGTAACCTGAGGTAATCATTAGAATGCATATCATTCTCCAGGATTCAGATTTCTGGGAGAATCCATGAATCTGCTACACTTTAAGATTAGAGAACTGATATTTTGGGGGAAATGAAAATTCTTTAACACCTGTACTTTGCCTGTTTTCTTTTTGTCTCACTGAATTCCACTGCTGTTTTTTCCCTTCTTTTAATAATCATAAACTACAGTCTTTCTGTATCAAGATTATTGTCCTTTCACAGCTGAACAGTAGATTTTACAAAAGCATCTTGGTACATGGTAATGTGAATGTCATAGTACATAAGGAAGCACTTTTATAAGAAGGTGGGATACTTTACTTGCAAGTGAGGCAAAAGGAATAAAAGAGGAAACCAGGTAAAATAGATGGAGTAGGCAGAATGTAGGGGGACATATCAGCTAGTTTTAAAAGCTGAATGAGATATTGCTCAGTTTCTTCCTCAGGTTTTATGTGGTAGTGTTCTTTGAACCATTGATTTGAAACCCCTACCTGCTTGAAAAATAGATTAGTTTAAATGAAATTTTTGAAATTCTTGGTGTTACTATATACATATTCAATAGGGAGTAATGTTCCCTTTAATTTTTTTTTAGTTGCAGGCAGATGAATATGCTGCATAAGCAATAAACAACAAAGACTGAACTTACATGGATGTTTTAATACTACAATCAAATAAAACTTTCAACAGTTATTTGATGTATTTAATGATATGCATAGTTGTTACTGTGCTGCATGGTAATTAAGATAAATATGTTTTTAACTATGGTTAATATCAGTTTTCTTTTCTTTTTTTTGTGACGGAGTTTCGCTCTTGTTACCCAGGCTGGAGTGCAATGGCGCAATCTCAGCCCACTGCAACCGGAGCCTCCCAGGTTCAAGCAGTTCTCCTACCTCAGCCTCCCAAGTATCTGGGACTACAGGCGCCTGCCACCATGTCCGGCTACTTTTTTGTTTTAATAGAGACGAGGTTTCACTATGTTGGCCAGGCTGGTCTCGAACTCCTGACCTCGTGATCCACCTGCCTCAGCCTCCCAAAGTGCTGGGATTACAGGCATGAGCCACCCCGCCCAGCCCAGTATAAGTTTTCTATAGGCAGACCTCCACATTTGTGGGGAGAAAAAAAATATGGCAGGCCAAGAATCCGTTTCAGAAATTTCTGATGTAGAACATGAGGAGCTTTGGGGCTTTTTGAGCAGGGCTTACTTTTAACCTTAGTTTCCTAATTCTAGGGACCATACACTTTTCCCTTCCGTTAGTCAAGACCATCTGCTAGAGGGAGAAATTGGGAAGATTCAGCCATTGTTTTACTTTCTCCAAATAGCTTTCTGTCTGGTAACTGAAGCTTGGGACATAGAGTTCCCAATCATTGATAGTTAATGCAGAAAGGATAGTTTCTTTCCCCGCTTAAGCCAAAGCAGTTCCAGGTCCCACAATCTAAGTTATTATAGGTGCTAGTATTTGAGTTGTCCTGTTAATCTGGGGCTTTGAGAATTTCTGAACCTGAATTTCTCATCTTTTCCCAACCTAGGCTCTCCACAACAAACATAAAACTATCCAGTGCATATGAAACAAATTGAAATAAAAGCAAAGTTAACATCGTTACTAAACCAAATCGAAATGTGATAGCTTAGAATATGCCTTTTTCATACCAGACCTGCCTTCCACTCCACCCACACCCTCTCAGCTCCAATTGAGAATCACACATAAGTTTGCCCCTGGAGAAGTACATACAAGTTAGAAATTCTAAAGCTCCGTGGAAACAATAACTGGGAATTATTCTTATTTCTGCTGTGACTTTTTAGGGATGATTTCTATTCTCTGTGCAGCATGGCTGTGTGTAATGACCATTCGTTGATGAAATATTTCTTAGTGCTACATCTGTGTTGTTAAATTTTTGTACTATCTAAAATACAATGTAATACTGTGAAAATTTCCTAGTATTTTAGAACCTTCTATATGTCAGTTCAGTATTGGTTGATAGAGGTAGCATTTGTATAAACTAATTCAGTGATTAAAATGTCTAATGTTTAATACTGCTTTACCATTTATAAAGTACCTTTGCGTTCCTTGTCTTAATGATTCACTCATATCATCCCTGTGAGCGAGGTGGTATTGGAATCATTTTCAAGAAGAAAAATTCTGGGTGCATAGAAGTTAAGTGGTATGTTTACATTCACACAGCTAGCAAGAGACTTGAATCTGTATCTTTTGACTTATTTTTCAGACCACTTTCACAGATGTCTTCTGCTACATCAGTTAATGCAAAAATATACTGTTAAAGATTAAAACACATACAATTTTAAGTTCAATAATTTAGGTTATAAGCATAATATTTATATTTTAAATAAAATTCAAGACAATAGCATAAGAATTTTTCAAAATGAATCAATTATATATTGTGACTGATGAAAAATTGCCATTATAGATGAGAAGTTAAACCATGTGTTATATAAGCAACTGAGGGAAGAAATGAAATTTGCATTTAAATGCTGTTTAAGAATCATTTTAGTGTAGCTATAGCATAAATGATAAAGTAGAAAAATTATATCTTTATAAAGTACCCACATATTGTTAACTATTAGGTCAGTGTAATATCTCTCATCAAAGATTATTAATGTCAAGTCCATAATACTTTGAGAGCAAATGACTAATTTCTCCCATTTTTTTAAAATAATACTTTCCAGATATTTCAGTCGAAGGAAGAAATAGCTCTTCTCCTAAGATGGAATCTGTGGTTTGGGAATGTGGTTGATCAACTTGATATGTTGGCCAAATGTGCCCCATGTAATAAAATGAAAAGAAGAGACAAGATGATGTCATTTTCCCATGTTGTGAAACCAAAAACAAACGCCTTTTGTGAGACCAAGCTAACAAACCTCTGACGGTGCGAAGAGTATTTAACTGTTTGAAGAACTTAACAGTAAGATATAGAAGAAGTATCTTCGAGCTGAGACCTGCAGGTGTATAAATATCTAAAATACATATTGAGTAGGCCTGATCATCCGAATCTCGTTCAGACCCAGGAAGGATGGCTATGACTTGGATTGTCTTCTCTTTTTGGCCCTTGACTGTGTTCGTGGGGCATATAGGTGGGCACAGTTTGTTTTCTTGTGAACCTATTACCTTGAGGATGTGCCAAGATTTGCCTTATAATACTACCTTCATGCCTAATCTTCTGAATCATTATGACCAACAGACAGCAGCTTTAGCAATGGAGGTAAGACTTGGTCTATTCTTTGATGTATCTTAGTGAATGACTCTTGTGTTGTCCCATCAGCCAATCTAATGAATGTGTTTGATAAACAACAGGAAAATAATATGCTATTTTAAATTATGTCTTATACATTTAAAAATTTATATGTTTTGCTTCAGACTCTAATAGATTGAAGAATTCACATTTGGTGAATGTAACTGTTATATTTTAGACATTATACTTTTATAAAGAAATTTGAAATACCAGAACATGGGAGATAATAGCCATTCAGAAGTTTAAAATTTAAGAATAACTCCCAAGCAGTGAAAAAGTTTTTGTCAATGCGAATTATCTGTTCTTGATCTCTCAGAATTTTATGAAAGTTTGCTGCCTTATTTGAATTTTTTTAATGGTAATTCTTCAGACAGTTCTTAATTATTTTAATTTAGAAACTATTTCAAATTTACAAACTGTGGACACATTAATTGATATAGTTAATAATAGGTTTAAATAAGGGTATATATATCTATAATGGTTTTAGAATTGAGGACAGGGATATATATATACCAGATAAGAACTGGGAGGCAGTAAGCAGTGGTGGTATTAAGAATAGACTTTGAGGTAGACAAACCTGAGTTTGAATTCTACATCTACCACTTTCTAACTGTATACTTTGGCCACGTTATATGAACTTTCTCACCACTTTCTCACCATAGTTTCTTTGCTTGTAACTTAGAGACTTCTGTAAGGTACAAAGTGAAAATCCATGTATAGTACTTGGCACATAGTAAGTACTCTATAAGTGATAGCTCTTACCATTTGTTCATATTCTCATATTAGTGAGGCTACCTAATATAATTTAGAGGGAATGCTTGATACATTAGACTTCAGCCTGTTTCCATAGCGCTTTCAGCAAATGGAAGCCTATGTTTTAGAATTCTTCATTTTATAGTAAAATCGAAAAACCTAAGTCTGAGAAAATTTGTAAGATTATTATTAATATATTTTGAAATAAGGAGGGCATCTTATATATTCCACATGTTTGAAAATGCTGTAGATGTTGAACAAAACATTTTTTGCTTTTCCTCTGAGTACGCGAGGTCTAAGTGGTTGAAGAGAGAGATTTGGTATAGGCTATCAGATTAGGATATATAAAAATGGGTATTGGTTTAATACAATAAGTTGGTTCCAGGTATAGTAGTCTTTGCTATGTATTAAAGCTATTGATTTCTCACAGAAAATTGAATTAGAAACATTTTTATGTCTGATATCATTTTAAATCATAACTCCTTTGGGAAGCAAATGGGTTAATAAGAAGCAGGTCATAAAGATGCTTGTTCTGACTTGGGTTCAACTTTTGGCTCTGCCATGTAGTAGGTTTAAGACTTTGGACGAGTTACTTAACAAACTCCTGATCTTTGTTTTCTTCATTTGTGAAAAGGCAGTATATGATATACGTTGAAGGGCTGTTGGGATTAAATAAGAGATTTATAAAGTAGCTAGCACAATGCATCATACACAATAGGTGATTTGCAAATATTAATTCTATTCCAAATTCCATTTCTAAATCATCTAAAGGGAAGTACTAGAAACACCACATATTTGCTCCAGTGAATTTGCATCCCTCCTTGTAGGTTCATGGGGCATTCATTCATAGTGATAGCGTGATAGGCCCTCTCTGCCTTCTCAAATATACACAGGTAGTCTAGATATTTCAGTGACAATGGGGTTGCCTCTGTTTGAATTTCAGACATTCTAGGGAGAGCACCTAAGTGAGTAATGGTTTCTAAGAGAAGGTTCTAATGACTTGAAGTAATGTTGGGAATAGTTGCATATTGCATGGTTATCATATCAGGACAGTGATGCCACTGGCTGAAAGAATAATCAAACACAGTTTGAGAGTGTAACATTTCTTTAATAGCAAATGACGTGGAAATTCAGCAGACAACACAGCCTGTTCAGTGCTGCTGATGACTCTGTCCACCTCCATCCCTCTGCTGATCCAGGAACCAGCTTAGCAGGCACAAGTAATTGGAGCAAACCCAGCACATTCTTGAGTGTTTGCTGTGAGACTGGATGAATTCAAAGACAGTTTCCTAGGTGTAGCATCTTTCAGCAGGCCCCAGGCTTTAAGCCTGCCTAGAGTCCATTCCTTTTTTCTTTTTTTGTGGTTTTTTTTTTTTTTTTTGAGACATATTCTCACTCTGTGGCCCACACTGGAGTGCTATGGTGCAGTCATGGCTCACCACAGCCTCAACCTCCCAGGCTCTGGTGATCCTCCTGCCTCAGCCTCCCAAGTAGCTGGGACTACAGGTGTGTGCCACCACCCCTGGCTAATTTTTTTGTATTTTTTTTAGAGACAAGGTTTTGCCATGTTGCCCAGGCTGGTCTTGAACTCCTGGGCTGAAGCGATCCACTTGCTTGGGCCTGCCAAAGTGCTCGATTATAGGTGTGAGCCACTGCGCCTGGTTGGAGTCCATTCCTTTACTGTTTTGTGAGTTAAAATGAGTGCCTGGAACACAATGGTATGTGGGCAGTAAGCTAGATTAGCCACAAAGAGGGGAACAGAATCTGGGTTACTTTAAATTTTATTCACAATCAAGTTGGATTTCTTACATCGTGTCTGCAGGGTTCATACTCTGTACTTTTATTGAGATTGGGACATGTTTAGATGGGTAAGTGTCAATCCATTAAGTTAGAAAAGAAGATTCTTGCTAATATGTTTATTTCTTTATCTCTGCCTTCCAAAACATGCACATTGATATACAAACATACATGCTACATTCTTCTAAGTTGTTAACTTGATGTTCTCTTTTCCCCCTGGGTATGAGTAGCTTTTGATAGGAAAAAAAATTCTCACTTCTGAGCCTTCCAAACCATTTTGAGCTGTCCAAATTGCTAAGTAAAGTTTTGGGAACTGTTCAGCATGGAGCAATAATCAACAAATGTCAGTAGCAATCTTTACTGAGCCCCCTATTATCAGGTATTTACGACTCTAGTGGTAATAAAAGAGATCTGGGCAGGCTTTTCCTCATACTGAATAGTTGAACCAAATTGGCTAGGATGGGAACAGATTAGTGTAAGAAGCACTAGAATAGGGATAGAAGACTTGTATTCTGTCACTAACTAGGTTTGAGACCTCTTTGTGTTGATTTCCAATAGGAAGTAAATTTTTTCTCCTGCCATTTTATAGGGTTATTGTTAAGATCAAGTGAGATAAGTGGCATTTATGTTAAAGAATTTTGAAAAGTTAAAGTGCTGTGTGAATACAGAGCATTATTCTTTGTTGCCTGTCACCCTGTTTTTTAATTTCAGTTAGTGTGTAGAACGAGCAATCTTTAATCTCTTTGGGAGGCTGATTGCTTGCTCCTCCCCACCCCGTATATAGAGGAAAGTAGGCCTCTCTATAGGATAATCAGAGGAAAAATTCCTGGGATGGTTTGTGTTTGCCTCCATTTCCTGTTTTCCTTTGTCATTCTCATTAAAGATATTTTTATGATTTAAGGTTTTCTTATAATGGGAGCTTGGGAATCTGGCAGTGAAATAATCCTAGTAGGAACACAGAGCTTAAAAGCCTGAACATCCTGTATCTTTTATGGTTCATTAAGAACCAAGTATGTTTGAACCAGTCTCCCAGTTATCCAAACTCAAATTTGAGCTTTTTACTAAAAAACTTTATTATGGTAATGTTCAGTATATACAAATAGAATAATATAATGAAATGCCATGTATCCACATCCAGCCTTAAACATTACCAACTCGTAGCTAGTCTTGTTTCATTATCACTGCACGCCCTTCTGGGTCACCTTGAAGCAAATCCCAAATATCAAAATTTAATCCACAAATATTTTGGTATATATCTCTGAAAAGTAAGATCTCTTTGAAAATACATGAACACAATACCTTTATTTCTTTATCAGTGTCAAGTATCAAATTAATGTTCAAATTACTCTTGCATATTCCACAATTTTTTTTCATATTGGCTTTTTCTAATCAGGGTTCATACATTGCATCCGATTGATGTCTCTTAAGTCTGTTTTAATTTATAGGTTTTCCTTTCCTGTTCCCCTTTTTTCTTGTAATATATTTGTCTTATAGAGTTTCCCATAGTCTTTATTTTGCTGATTGCATCCCTGTGGTGGTGTTTACCATGTCTCTGTCTCATTTATTTTTGTAAACAGGCACTGTAGAAGCTTGATTTGACACCAGTTTGGTTTTTTATTGTTGTTTTGGAAGGAATACTTCATAGGTAGCTAACATACTCCTGCCAAGAGCACATAATATTAAGTTGTTACTCTTTTTGTAAATGTTAGCAGCCATTGATGATTTCCTAGACCAATAGTTTTGTTAGGGGTTTGCAACATGGTGATATTCTAATTCTGTTACCCTTTCTTCATTTCTTAGCTGGAATATTCGGAAGCTTCTCATTGACTATTGGATTACTTTCTTGTACAGTTTATATAAGAAAGATAGGATAAGTGCTTCCATGTTCCCCCTTTATTAGTTTTTAGAATAATTAGTTGATTCCCAACCATCCATCCAAGGTGACCAGTGAGGGTTCTTTTTTTTTTTTTTTTTTTTGGTTTAAGTTTCATTGTGAACTCAAGGTTGTTTTTTGTTTGTTTGTTTGTTTGTTTTTAACATATTTGATGTTTTAAATCTATCACAGTGATTATTGAGGCTCAGAATATTCCATGTTTGGTAGTGGGAGCCTCTACATGGTAGCTCCTGAGTGTTTTATTTTTGAGACAAGGTCTTGCTCTGTCACCCAGGCTGGAGTGCAGTGGAGCAATCATAGCTTGCTGTAGCCTCAAGCTCCTAAGCTCAAACAATCCCCCTACCTCAACCTCCAAAGTAGGGACTACAGGTACATGCCATCATGCCTGGCTAATTTTAAAGAACTTTTTTTTTTTTTTTTTTGTAGAGACAAGGTCTCACCATGTTGCCCAGGCTGCTCTTGAACTCTTGGCCTCAAGCTATCCTCCTGCCTTGGCTTCCCAAAGCATTGGGATTACAGGCATGAG